ACTATTGCAGCAAAACCTTTTTTTAAGGAAATAAGACTCAAACTTGTGAGATTCTTTAGAAAGAAGATGGAGAAACAGCTCTTTGTTGCAACATTAAAGAGAAAGAATGTTGGGCTGAATCAAGAATTGTATTTGCCAATACTGTATAACCAAGGCCTTTTTGTAACGTGAATTTGAAGTCATTTTAGATTTGGGATAGAATGCTGAAAAAACTACCATATATTACGGCATATAAGACGTCTGGGCGTATAAGACGATCCCCACATTTTCCAGTTAAAATATAGAGTTTGAGATATATTCACCGTACAAGACTACCCCTCTTCCGTAGGTGGCACTTAGGCTTAGAAATGGAGATGAGCACCAACCCCCAGAGTTGGACAAGACTGCACTTAATGTCAGGGGAAAATGTTTACCTTACGTAGAGTGAGCCCAGGGCCAGGTCCAACGTCCTTTCCCCAACAGCAACAACAATAGAACCCTAAAGTTGGACGGGACTCCAATGGCCAGCCAGTCTAACTCTAATTCTGCCAGGCAGAAATACACATCGGGATGATAGGTGGCCATCCTGCTTTGCTTAATAACAACCATAATAACAACCACAAGAATATTGTGTCCAATTCTGGGTTCCACAATTGAAGAGAGATATTGACAAGATGGAATGTGTCCAGAAGGAGGGCGACGAAAATGATCAAGGGTCTGGAGAACAAGCCCTATGAGGAGCGGCTTAAAGAGCTGGGCATGTTTAGCCTGAAGAAGAGAAGGCTGAGAGGAGATATGATAGCCATGTATAAATATGTGAGAGGAAGTCACAAGGAGGAGGGAGCAAGCTTGTTTTCTGCTTCCCTGGAGACTAGGACGCAAGGAACAATGGCTTCAAACTACAAGAAAGGAGATTCCATCTGAACATGAGGAAGAACTTCCTGACTGTGAGAGCCTTTCAGCAGTGGAACTCTCTGCCCGGAGTGTGGTGGAGGCTCCTTCTTTGGAAGCTTTTAAACAGAGGCTGGATGGCCATCTGTCAGGGGTGCTTTGAATGCAATATTCCTGCTTCTTGGCAGGGGGTTGGATTGGATGGCCCATGAGGTCTCTTCCAACTCTATGATTTATGATTCAAAGCAGGGACATCTCCGGTCCATCCTCCGCCTCCTCCTCCTCCACATTGGCCGCCAAGGCAGACCTGGAATGGAGGGGTCTCCTCCTCTCCAGGCCTGCCTTGGCTGCTAATGTAGTGGCGGCAGTGGGGGAGGAGGAGGCGATTCAGCCACCGGATGGCTGAATTGCCTCCTCCTCCTCCTCCGCATTGGTAGCCAAGGCAGGCCTGGAATGGAGGGGTCTCCTCCACTCCATGCCTGCCTTGGCTGCCAATGCAGCAGCGGCAGCAGGGGAGGAGGAGGTGATTCAGCTGCCGGATGGAAGCCAAGGGGCTCCTCCATTCGCATTGGCAGCCAAGGCAGGCCTGGAATGGAGGGGTCTCCTCCACTCCAGGCCTGCCTTGGCTGCCAATGCAGAGGCGGCATCGGGGGAGGAGGAGGAGATTCAGCCGCTGGACGGCTGAATTGCCTCCTCCTCCTCTGCATTGGCAGCCAAGGCAGGCCTGGAATGGAGGGGTCTCCTCCACTCCAGGCCTGCCTTGGCTGCCAATGCAGTGGCGGCAGCGGGGGAGGAGGAGGCGATTCAGCCACTGGACGGCTGAATCGCCTCCTCCTCCTCCGCATTGGCAGCCAAGGCAGGCCTGGAATGGAGGGGTCTCCTCCACTCCAGGCCTGCCTTGGCTGCCAATGCAGAGGCGGCATCGGGGGAGGAGGAGGAGATTCAGCCGCTGGACGGCTGAATTGCCTCCTCCTCCTCTGCATTGGCAGCCAAGGCAGCCTGGAATGGAGGGGTCTCCTCCACTCCATGCCTGCCTTGGCTGCCAATGCAGCAGCGGCAGCAGGGGAGGAGGAGGTGATTCAGCTGCCGGATGGAAGCCAAGGGGCTCCTCCATTCCAGGCCTGCCTCGAAATGGGCTGCCCCTGAGCTTCAGTTTCTCCGAGGGGCTCCTCCACTCCATGCCTGCCTCGGTTGTCAGTGTGGCGTATATCGCCTCCTCCACCGCCGCCCTGATAACCAAGGCAGGCATGGAGTGGAGGAACCCCTCGGTGAGGCTGAAGCCCAGCAGTGGGAGACAAGCAGTGCTGGAGGAGCGCAGCAGTTAGGCAGTTGCCCGCCTCCGTTGCCTGGCCCCAAAACAGGAAGCGGATTTTTATACCCGTCGTACTAGATGACCCCCAAGTACAGCAAGGATTATCCAGGCTAAAAAAAGTCGTCTAATATGCCGGAATATATGGTACTTAGTATTTTAATCTATTGTTGCAACAATGTATGTTTTCACATTACTAAGTGTGTGTGTGTGTTTAATCTCAGAATGTGGTGTAATGCACATGAAGTTGATCAGATTGGTCTGGTCAGTGTCTAGTTTAAAAACCATCTGCAAACTCTGTATACCACCTTGAATGAATGAATAAAATTGTTGTTCCAATTGAACTGTATTGATTTTGATTACCATACTGAAGCTGAACAACAGGTTTTTTTTACACTTGCCTCTTTCTCCTTGGAAAAACAGGTGAGCAAGTATGCAGTTAGTTTGTAACAACAAACACTATGTCAAGTCAAATAAACAAAAACAAAAAAAACTTGTTTTTTTTACCATGCTTCTATGTATGCTCCCTTCTTTGCTGAGATTTGGAATAATAATAATGGTATAATGTAGTAATGTACAAATTCTGGAGAAGTAAGAACCAACACTCAGCAGTTTTCCTGGGAACTCCTAAAAATATTTTGGGGTTTTGCTGACAGAGATGAGCAGTGCAGTCACACCCAGTCTGTACCTAGTACATTCCCAATACAGGTAAGCATCTCTTATCTGGAATTTAAAAATGCAAAATATTCCAAAATCTAAAACGGGTGGCTGAGACAATTATACCTTTGCTTTCTGATAAAGTTTGTTTCATGCATAAAATTATCAGAAATATTGTATAAAATGACCTTTCAGTTGTATCCACTGTATATGAAATATAAATGAATTTCATGTTTATACTTGGGTCCCATATCCAATATATCTTATTATGTATGTATATGCAGATAAAGGTATTCCAAAACTTAAAAAACCCCAAAATCTAAAGCACTTCTGGTCTCAAGCATTTTGGATAATGAATACTCAACCCGTATTGCAACAAAACAGAATGAGACCTTTGCACCCAAAGTGGTCACTAAATCATAGTGGCATAGGCGGTCATTGATGGCTTATTCCAAGCGGGAAAAGAATAAATTTCTAAATTACCCCGTAGTGGTACAACACTCAGACAAGCCATTCCCTTATGTGATCATCTCAAGGCAAAGATGGGTCTAATGCAGAGCTATTGTGATGAGGTGAGACTTATCAGTTAAGAACTCTGAAACACTTATTCAAAGACTGCTTAGCAACAATGCTAAAGTACACATTATGCATGAAGGAGCTCTAAATGTTAGTAAGAAATTCTGCTTGTGAAACTAATTATTCCGGATAAGATCATATGGAGTAACAGGAAAGGAAAACCATAACGAGGTTTCTTAAAAAAAAACCTAACCAAATTCATTCTGAAGTTTATAATAGAATATGTAAATTATAGATGAGTTTGCATTTGAACCACAGAAATCCCTTTTTGAAAGGCAACAAATATTTCATGGTATTTCTCTTAAACCTGCTACTTATTTCTATAGGAATAATAACCAAACCAGGTCATAGAATAAAGACCTTTCTTACATTTTATAGCCAATGGTGAAGAAGCATTACAACACTGCCTTGTTGCAACAGAACAATGCCATTTGTAATAGTTAGACTTGTTTTTTCTCATGGCATTCCCCTTCCCACAATACATAGTTTTTAAATTAGCATTTTAAATAAGATTAATAATATTTTCTTACTAACCTTTGATTTTTCAAATCAGCATTCATTATCTGACAGCATCATTAAATATAGTTTCAAAGCATCAAATAAATACAATAAGTATAATATAAACAATAATTTATATTTGCTAGCTTTGTTTGTACATAAAAATGCATTTTGCTTTTCAAAAGGTCTGTTTCTTGTCTGTCTTACCAATGAGAAGATTACAAATATACAATTGCAAGGGATAAATGATGGGCTTATTATCAAAACGGGTCCGCTGTCAAGAACATCATTTTTAGGTATTAAAGATACAGAACGATATTTCAATCAGCTGTGAGGAGCTATAAACTTTTGACAAATCACACACTTGACAACTGAGATTTATAGGAGGCTGATGCACAATTGCATGTGCTTTCTTTTGCAATTAAAGCAATGACAAGACAGAAGTGATTATTACGGTTTTGGAGCATAGTCAAGAAGGGATATTTGCATAAGCAAATGATTCTCCACAAACACTCAGGAGCCTGCTTGGAACTAAAAAGGCACTGCTTGCAGTTGGCTGTGTGTTCCCTGATTCCATGAACTGTTGTAACTTTTGCCTTCTTTTTGCCAAAGTGAAGAGTTTATATTTGAGATGTTCGACTCTCTGGGTATTCATAAACCACTATTGCATCATGCCTCTTTATTGGTAAGCCTGGAAAGGGCTGATGGAAAATGAAGTTCAACAACATTTTGATGGAGGTAAATCCTCCAGATTAGTTTGGGGGTCAGAAATAGCAGTAGCGACTTTTAGACCCCCAGAGGATTTTTGCCTGTCAAGGCCGAGACTTGGACTAACAGCTATTTTATGTCAGTGGTAACAATTTTATATAACATTTTTCATTCTTCCTTCTTACTGTTTTGGACAATTGCTGCTAAAATTTGGACCCCAGACCTCTTTTGTGTCTGTGTTACATATATTTGTACAAAGCAGAGTCTGATAAATCTAACCGTGTTAGAATTTACAGGAAAGGTATCAGTGAGCAAGCAAAGTAATTTAATATAATACAGAACCAAAACAAGTATGACAAAGCAACAGAGTATGCTACATTACCACTTTGAGTTGGAAGAGGATACAGAGGAATCTGTGGTGGTTCACCCAGTGTACTTGCCAGTCTTAATTTGGAGTGTGGTGAAAGCAGAGATGGACTAGGAGTCAAAGGACTGAAGCTGGCCTAGAAAAGAAAGGTTCATTGTAATTTCCTAATTTGGATAGAAGAGATAAAATGCAAAACATTTACTAAACAGTAGAAGGTTTATTAGTTTCATGGAGTAGGAGATTCATTTTGAAAGCAGGAAGAGCAACTTGAAACAGCTTCAATTGTGAAAAGGTGTTGTAATTTGAAAAACCCATAAAATATTTAAAAGATGACTGATTCCATCCCGTGTGCTAAAGGAACACACCAACACTTTCTTTTAGTAGCCTTTTTGTTTTAATTGTTACAGCAACACTGTTGTCTCCCAGTTGTAGGATGATCAGTATGCCTCCTCATCTATTGTGGACCATACCATACAACATGTTTTCCCTGACTGATTTTTGGTTGGGTTGAAAGCACTCCTTTAAGATTTTATTTACTTTTCTTTGAGAAGATAAATAACATATGTTATTTTTCTGTTACTTACATGAGAAGAACTAGAAAGCAGAGTTTCCCTTCCACTATAACCATACATATTCTCAAACTTAACTCCAGAGATGGAAGAACTTCAAGAATAAAGTCTCAGTGTATGCACCGGAGAAGAAAAAGTCTCACTGCATGAACAGAGGTTTGTTCTACACAGGAGTCCCTTCAAATTTTCTAGTAATTCCCATTTTGGTTTTCACACAGAAGTTACTTAGGTAGCAATGAAAGGACACATAAAAGATCTAGAAAAAAACTAGAAAATGCGTAACTGTCATACATATTTGTGTACATCCTAATTATGACTCCATGTTTTCAGAGGAAGCAGGGTTAACCTGGTTCTTCCTCATTCAGATGTAGTCTGAACCAAGATCTATGAGCATGTGCCCTATGGGATTTATGTAAAGTAATGTGCCCTCTGGATTTGAAATATACAGTTAATGACAGATTCAGGGAATAACTTGGTTAATTTTGGAGATGTTCATTTCCACAACAATGGGGCTAACCTTGAAAATGGTTCAGGAGTTGCAGCTAAAGCAAAATGCAACAGCTACATGGCTGATCAAAGCGTCGTATATAAACTGCACAACATCAGTCTTAAAAGTGTTGTACTAGTTGTCAATACAGGTAATGCTCAAAGCCCCCAATGGCTTGAAATCTCAAATCTCATTATTGTTATGCGTCTTCAAGTTGTTTCTGACTTCTGGCTTATATATGT